CCCCAAAACCCCAAAACCCCACTATAGCATTATTGGAATTGTATCAGAAATTAGAAATTTTAAATTAAATTCCTTCTATTAGTATTTTTGAGTAAATTTTAATTTATTTAAGAGATATTTTTAATAAATTTTATCAATATATAATCAAGCCTCAATAATTAAAATGGCCAAATTGAGAAGAAAGTTCTTACTGACCGCAGTCTCTCTCTATGTTATCTCATTATTCGCTGTGTCTTTTTTTACTCTATATAAAATGACATAGATTATCAAGGAGAAATTCAATCCTTTTAGTAAATCTTATTCTTTTTAAACCACATTTAGTTTTGAAAATTTACTTTAACAGAATGAGTGACATCTCTTTTACCATTTCAAATGATATAAAGGATGAATTTTAGATTGTATTATATTTATTTATTCTAACTTAATTGATAGCTACAAGCTGATTTGATAATTGCCAAGTATTTTGCAGAAAAATTAAACAATTAAACAATGAATCCTCAATTTGATTAGTATGTTGGATAAGTATCAGTAGATGGAACATTAAAAGGTAATTCATAAGGACAGTATCCTATCGATTCTGATAAGCACGATTGGTACTATACTCCACTTGATAGGTCGCTCTACCCTGAATTTCAAGCAGGTTAAAAATAAAAGGCAGATATTAGATAGTGCGACTTTTCTTATTTCTTCTTCCATCCTTTAAGTAATGCAGTTTATCTTGTTACGGAGAAAAAATCATAATACTATGGATATGAAAGTGAAATTTTTTGTAGTCATCCATCTTAAAATAACTCAATATGGACAGGTAGAAATTCTGCTGGATCAAAATGTAGAACAGCTCCAAATAATAAATCATTGTCATGGTTCAGTCCCACATGCCGTGGATGGTACACACAATAAATGGCTCTTAATAAATGTAAAATCATATATAAATTAAATTCATTAATAGATACCTTAATCTAAGATCTTTATGTATTTGCAGCTGATAAGAAATTAGGACTGACTATGTGTGCTCCTCTTTATACTAATGAGGCATACTATGGAGCGCACTGCAAAGACATCTATCCAACTTTAAATTAGGGTGAAGAAAATTTCATTACTAATTAATATCTAAAATTGATAAGATCAAATTACATACTTTTCCAGAAAGATTAGAATTTTGTAAATTTGTTATCAAAAACTTTTTATTTAGTTGGATAAGAATTATTCAGGATTTACAGCCTAGGTGTCACAAATAGTTTATAGTTCATTAACTGACGTTGTTAAAGATTATAGATTGGATAATTCCTATGAAGATACTAGGATTGATCTAGCTTATTTCAAAATAGGTTAAATGCAAATGTACTGTCTTAATAAATCCTGAAATTTAATGTAGGGCAATGGTCATAAATAAGATTAAAATTAAACTTAAAGGTTTTGGAGACGCATAGTTAGCATACAAAGAATTCGATTTTGGATTAGTAAATATACTTTTAAAATAAAATCATCAATCTAATAGATTTTTGAAGCAGGCTACATAACAAATGGAAAAGATGAGATTCTTGACAAATTCTAGACTATCTTTAACATAAATTTTTTGACCCCTTACGTTATTATGTTTGGCTTTTTCTCAATAGGATATATTTTGTAAAATTTTCTCATAATTAATGTAATATAGCTTTTTAAAAAGATTTGCAGATAAAATATTCAATCCTATGGATGAGCTATACCACAAAATTCAACTAATGATCTCTAAACATGAAGAAGCAGAACTTGAGATGAAAAGAATATAAGAAGAAGATCAGCAACTTAATCCAGCTCTGATCCATTAAAAATAAATAAATTCTCAATAAGCATCAGGAAATGTATTATTTCGAATCTTTATGTTTAATCAGGTAAATATTGAGTACAAGAAAACATAACTTGAACTCAATGAGCTTTTTGATGCTGCAAATTTATTTATCAAAACACTCAGAGTTGCAAAGCAAGCCTTAGTATCTGGAGATCATAATAAAGCTCTGTTAAATTACAATGAGATTGCGATGAGTCTGGGTCATGAATCTTCAAAGAAAGGAATATGCTACAATAACATCGGTTGCATTCGCCTAAGTCTTAAAGACAAAAAGCCTAAAATTTACTTCAATTAGGCTCTAATAATGTAATTATAGAAAGTTGAAGCAATGACTGATAAAGATAATGCTGATTATATTGTAAGTAATTAAGTTCTTTTTAATCGTCTTTAGACTTAAAAATTTATCCTGGCTTGCCGATATTATAACACAAGCGTTGCTTATTAAAGGAGTTTTAAGGAAAGGTATAAAGTGATAATCAGTAATGAAGAGAATTAAGGTTTAGAAAAACTTTAATCATTAAGAATGGGAATAGAGTAGAGTTTAATGGAGTGTTAAGAACACTTTAAATATGCTGCTTTTGAAGGAAAATTTCTTGATTTTATTACATTTACAATGATACAAAAGCTAGAGTTTCTTTGCTATTAAACAGATAAGTAAATCTTTAGATCAAAGGTTGATGAATCAAGAACTTTTGAAATTCTCTTCTAAGAGATTAAAGCTAACATGAAAATACTCTAGCAATAATAATAATCACTTTTTTAAACTGATCTGAAGCAAAAAGAAAATGAAAGAATGGGCTTAAAGGTAATTGAATATTCATATCTCAATTAATATTTCATCTTCACTCTCGGTCTCTACTTTGAATTATTCTAAGCTAATATTGAAAAGGCTTGTGAATTATATTCATACTGCTTAAAAGTTGGGTACAAATGTGATAGTAACATCACAAAGTAATGCTTAAAACGAATAATCAAGATCAAAGAATAAGCGAAGAGTATGAGTAAAATAGGGGATCCAAAACAATAGCTAAGACTTTAACTCTCAAAATACTATATAAGCAATAAATCTGTAATGATAATTATGAATCTTTAAAAATCTGGAGAACACTTATCAGTCTAAAAGTAGATTTTCGAATTCTTTTCTAAGGTAAGACCCATCATCTGATTTTTAATGATAAATTAATAGATGTTTTAAACATTAGAAAATGAAGACTATTTTGGACTTATTACTTTGCAGGAAGGAGTTTATAGGAATAGTGATATTCAATTAGAAAAGAAGAGATTCAACTCAATAATAAAGTAGACCTACATTGATAGTCTGAAAAATTTATTTATTCCAAGCGGAAATAAACCTTCAGACAGAGAGTAAACATTTTTGTTCTTAATTTTTTTATAGCTTAAGCAATGCATTGGAGTAAGCAATAAGATAGCAGAACCAAATTTAATAAATTCTCTATAAAAAGTACTTCAAGGGACCAACAAGATGGATAATTGCGTTTGTGAATAACAATACAAATGAATAGGATGTATTAAACTGCTGTCAGACTATGAAAAAGTATTAATAAAAAACTCTGCATTCCAAGGAATCATAGATAGGTTTAATTGTGATTGGCTTCAATTTATAAATATAGACTTTAATTACAAAATTAGAAGATTTGTGCAAAATGACTAGTTAAGGAATGTTTAGAAATATTGAGTGCCAATAATCATCTGGCCAGCAAAATGGATCGGCCTAGAACATTATTGGAACATCCATATTATAGAGATTGCTTTCATAAAAGAAAAATGAGAAGAATATGAAAGATTACAACCTTGTAATTGAAAAATAGCTTAATGAGGTATAGAAGTAAATTTAACTCTATAAAAAACACTAGGTGCAGCTGATATTTGAAAAATTCGATTTTAAATGAGAAAAATTTGAATTAGTAACCTTAATTTCATAATTCAAGTATTTGTTTAAGTTACTAAATATTAAAAATTATCATGAAATTAATCAAATTTTCATCTTCGTTTATCAGGAGAAACAGGGGAATAATCACTATAATCTGGGGAACTATCTTCATAGTCATCATCATCAGCATCCTCACCGTCCTCGTATCTTTCTTCAGCTTCTTCATTTTCAATTTCTTTCATCATTAATCTGGATAGCTCTTCTGGATTTCCTTGAGCATATCTCTTTCTAAAGATCCTTTCCTTCAATTCTTCAGCACTGAGTACATTTCTAGATTCAATTTCTTTCATAGATTTTATTGGTCTAATAGGACCAAATTCAGTTAAGAGAGATGCTAGATTGACCAAGCATACAGATAACTTATGCGATCTCTTAACGTGCAGTTCAAATTCATGCTATTCCTCTTAAGTTTTCTTAGCATTTTCAAACAGAATTCTCATACTATCTAAACCTGTTTTAAGCTCTTTCAATGAGTCATCAATTTATCCTTGCATCTAGCTAAGTAATTCATCATTATCCTCTTCTTTTTATTAAACATTTCTATATATTTCAGCTTAAAGTATGAATTTTTAACTTACAATCTCTTAATCTTGAATCTGCTAGATCTAGCGATTAGACCCATGAGTAGTCTTGTTCTTCTCTTACTTTCTAATTGCTTTCTTCTTAAGTAAGTAAGCAAAATGAATTCTTTCATTATCACACCTGCATCCTTCTTTAACTGTTTTCTTACTGCTCTCTCCATGATTATTGCTTCATAGACTTATTCTTCCTATTATCAAGAGTATTAGAAGTGGAATGTTTTACTTTTGGGGTAAATTCAGTTGTATTAGTAAGAGCTACAACAAAAAGTGAAAGAATAAATACTCCCCAAATACAAGCAACAATGCAAGTAATACGTCCAAGATGTGTTTTTGGATAGATATCACCATAACCAATAGTGGTCATAGTTAGGATCACTACCCAAAAAGAATTCCAGGCATATTCAAAATTTGATTCTTTTAATCCAATTTCAAATATTCTTAAAGCAAATCCGAGAACGAATGTCGAAACTACTAGGCCAACAGTAAGAATTACATAAGGTTTTAAAGTCAAGTAAGCTTTTAATGCAAAAAATGCATTTGCTTATGCTCCATTTATTTTGCAAACTCTTTTAGATCTTTCATTTGTCCAGTGAGAATAATGCTCAAATAGTCTGATTACTGTGTAAAGTCTGAATAAACTAACTACTGCTGTCATTGCATCAAATGAATATATAATCTTCTACCCCAATTGTACCATTGAATAAGTGATATCGACATTAGGAGGACAGACACAAGAGTGAATAGCAATTTCTGCTAGCAAATATTTCCATAATCCAGTTGATATTAAAGTAACTATGATCTTAATATAAAATTAAAATTTACCATTCTCTTCTATCTAATTGTCTCTGAATTTAATTACATTAAGCTTATAGTTGTAATGAATTATCACACATATTATGATTGTTGCCGATAAAATAAATATGAATGCTCTCAAACCAGAACTGGCAGAGTTGCTAACATTATTGTTTTACCAAAAGACTTCATTCTAAATAATTTAAATAATACAAAGTTAGTTACCTCAAGATAGATTAGGACTATAGTAATAACTGAAATAAGTGCTGTGATGGTATCTAATGCTTTCATTCTTTTATTTAAAGATTATATCTACTCACTGTAGATTTATGTCCCTATAATAAAATATAAATAATTGAATTTACCATCTAAGTAAGGTGGAAGTTTGCATCTTTAATTCACTGGATCGTCATAAGTTTTAACTAGTTTCTTTGTTACTACATCATTTTGGTTTAATAACAAGGAATTTATATATAATGCTTACTCTTCTTTTTTCTTCTCTCTGATGCCTCTGAATCTGATGAGTCGTTAGTAAGATTTTTAGTATTATTGCTGTTTGCTTACTTATTCTTCATTATTTAAATTAATAATAAATCTCTTTACTTTTATCTAGCGGGGTTTTGGGGTTTTGGGGTTTTGGGG